CCCGGTTCCTCTCCCCGCGCCGCTTTGTGGTGCCTGACTCTGCTTGCGCAGAGTGCACACAGCCCTACCATTGCCCATGCCCCCCACCGCAGCACTCACAGTCTGCTTGAACCAAATCTCTCCATCCTTTTCGCTCTCTCCCTCCTTGACAAGCTCATCATCTTCTCTCCTCTTCTTTTCGTACGCTTCAGAAATGGGAAAAAGGAGCAGGACAGCTTGAACTGGTTGGGGAACCATGGATAGCAGTTCGGCATCCAGACCGTATATATCGTGAAAGGCGTACTGCGAAGTGTCTAGACCCAAAGATTTGGACCACTGGACTCGGCAGCACGCAAAAGCGGACGAGGGTGTGAGCATAAGCAGTGCATGCAACGCTCCACGGCTCGCAGTGCTGATCCTGATGCTGTCGAGGACTGCAGATGCGCGCGCGCACGCACCTCTGTGAATAGCTCTGGGTTGGATTCCAAAGGCACCCATCGAAGCGTGGCATTATCACCCGACATGATCGCGTAATGTCCTAGTCTACTGTGTGCTCACTCTTCCGCGCGCTTGCAAGCAAAAGGGGGAGATGGTGTTGTGTGACGCCTTGCTTCCCTTGTTGCCAGCTTGTGCGTGTTTCAGCTCCGTTTTGCGCGCGAGGTGGTGAGGGTCCTGATGAGTGGTGGTGGTGGTGGTGGTGTTGGTGTGAGAGATGTAGGGAATCGCATGGATCCGCTCGCTGCATATGCAACCCTCCCTCCACACGAAAGGCGCGGCAGGCAGATGACCAGTCACGTGCCTATTACCCTCACGACTTTCCGCGGCCACGCATGCATCCGCGCTCGCAAGGCTTTCTTACTTTGATTGTTTCCCCCTGCGCCCGCCACCCATCAGACTCACGGCTCGATCGTCGACTGGCTGGACTACTATTCTATCTCCTGAGCTCACAATCCGCGAGTGCATTACTCACGGCTCTGCCATTCGCATTGGGCGCTTCACGATCGACGGCTTCATGTCCAGCACGACACCTCCAAAAGCCGACGACTAGCGCGTGCTCCCGCGCCTCGCACACTCAACGCATCCTCCCTCCCACCCCCGCACTCAAACCAAACTTCCTAACCCTCCCCTCACCCCCAGCAATGTCCTTTGGTCGACCGCCCTCCTCCTTTTCGGCCGCCGCATTCGAAGCTCCAGACAGGGGTTCCTTTCCCTTGGATCACGAGGGGGAGTGTACGCTGGCAATGCGAGAGTACATGAAGTGTATGAGGAGCAACTCGAACGATAATGGTGCTTGCAGGGAGCTGAGCAAGGCGTATCTGATGTGCAGGATGGACAAGTGAGTTTGCGGAGGGGAAAAAGGTGATCCGCTTTGCGTCAATGTCATCGCGAGAGGTGTGCTGTGCTGTGCTGTTCTGTGCTGACACCGCATCGCCATTCCACCTTGCGCGCATTGCCGCCGTGTGACGCGATTAGAGGTCTGATGGAGAGGGACTCGATGACCAATCTGGGTTTCAGAGAGCAAGAAGCGGCAGAAAGGTTGGAAGCGCACAGGATAGTCCGCGCCGGTCAGCATCACGGCGATCCAGCGCGCCACGGGACAGGTGCGGGTGCGGGTGCGGGTGCGGGTGCGGGTGCGGTTGCGAGTGCCACGTCGAAGGACAATGGCTCGTCTGCCGCTGTCGACAAGGAGGCAAGCAGTCCGCCTCAACAATTCTTGGGGCGTCTGGTGTAGGTGCGATGCGGCGCGCATCCCTTCGCTGCGCTTGCGCTTTCAGCAATCGACGAAAGTAAAGGTCATGGATACTGGACAGGGTGCGAGTCAATTTCCAGTTGTGCTTGGATCCCGCAGGCTACTCAAGAAGTGTCTCATCACCCGCGTGGGTGGGAGACCCTGGCCACTTGGGTATGGAAGCGCAGAGAGGGCACAAGGATCCATCATTCCGTCCGTCACACAAAATGCACAGCGTTAATGATTCTGCTCGAGCGGAAGACAGAGCACGCAAAGCGCGAGGTCCCCCCCCC